TAGAACTGTATGGTTATACTGATATAGTTGTGGAAATAAAGAGTAACAGACTGAGATGATTGGAACATGTTGAGCGATGTCAGATGATAGAGCTGCCAAGAAGATCTATAGAGGAAATCTGGGAGGGAGGAGTAGAGAAAGAGCACGGAAACTATGGCTGGATGATGTGGAGGATGATTTGAGGAAGATGGGGCCGATGATTGGAGGAAACGTGCTGAAGATCGTCAAGATTGGGCTGCGATTGTAAGAGAGGCCAAGGCACTACATGGGTTGGAGGAGTAATGCCTAAGAGTAGTAGTAGTAGTAGTAGTAGTAGTAGTAGTAGTAGTAGTAGTAGTAATAATTTTTGAGGAGTTGTTTTTAAAATAGCTGTTGTTTTAAATAAATATTTTTTCAAAATTGTGTTATGAGTAAGATATTTGCTTAAATGATTTAAAATAAAGTATTTAAGTAATTTGTTTAAAATATCAGATCAATATAATTATTGTAAAAGGATAATAGTTTCTTTAAAATCTCTGCTTGTTTAATTGTAGCGTTGAAAGTGAAATTATTATTAAGACGTCCGTTAAATCAATTAGTGGAACAAGGAATCATGCCTTGTAAGTAATACTGTGAATTTTTTAAAATATTCAAATACTTTTTAATATGTAAATTAATGTAACATTAATTTTTATATATTAGTATAAAGTATCATTTCCAAATTTTTTTATAGCACTTAAAACACCTCCAGCATTCCATGAACAGAGACAAAAATTGGAAAGAGCAAAGGTAAATAGGTTTAAATCAATATTTATATAATTAACAAATATTAGTGCTTTTCTATTCTTTGTTGTTTTAAAAATCTTTATATACTATGAATCTTAGAAAAGTGTAAGAATATTTATCTGCTCAAAGTTAGAAAAGCTATAGTTTACCTAAGTAATTTGAAATTGCTCTTGACAAAATTGAACTGTTGGTGTTTTCTAATTTTCATTTTACTATATATACTCTTTCATTTTCAAGTTTAGTAATTAATTTATATCATCTAGCAAGTGATTATACAGCAATTGACACTGCTTTTAGAACATGAACATAATATAACAGGCCTGTTTTGCACAAAAATAATGTTTTCAATTTTCAGATTTAAATTATTTATCAGAGAAATATTTTTTGTTTACTCAACATTTTTTATACAAAAATATTTTTGGTTACAATATAATTAATCAAGCTAAGTACATTAGGGGTTTGTTTTACACATGATTAATATATATGATGTGTTTTCATAAATAGTAAATGATTAGGTTAATCCTACATGCATGGTTAATTCCGATTATTAATGCACAAGCTGACTATTGTTGTTATGAAATTTATTGTGAACAAAAGTAATGGTATAAAAATTAGAAACAATCTTCTACAGCCTGTTTTCTTTAAGATCTTATTTAATTCCATATTTCTATTACTACACTATCTGTCCAAAAGTATCCGGACACCCTCCTAAAGAAGTGGATCTGGTAGGTGATGGTCTCTGATGTGTAACCAAAAGGTATAAAAGTGTTGGTATTGGTTTGTCAGGTAATATTTATGTGTTTGTGAGACAATGAGGTAAGTCAAAGGAGCTTAGTGACTTTGATCATGGCATTATAGTGGGATGCCACCTTTGTGGGAAATCATTTCATGAAATTTCGGAAACACTACTATGCATATGTAGCTAGAACTATTTCTAAGACTAACAGCACAAAACCTTCCTCACTAATTTCTAGCCTTATTAACTGGAGTACAAACGTTTTCGGCCTTCTTAATAGGCCTTCCTCGGGTACACTGTGGAGCGTCGGTTAGAAGAAGTTTAAATGCTGCCAATGTTTACCCAGGTGTCGTCTTACCCGTGACGTCTTCGTCGATGATAGGTATACGACACCAGGGAGAAAAACTACATACTTTTGGTAAAGAAGGGAGGTGTGCAGATAGGATACTTGCTAAAGTTGGGGAAAAAAGATTTTAGAGTAAGCGCGCTACGTACAGGAGATGCACAATCACCACAGGGGGT